ATAGATCACCTGCAATGCACGTGCAATTTTAGTGCTACTAAGTCCACCCTTACAAATACATCATGAGCAGTTCACGAGCCATTTTGGTGCTACTAAATACACCTTTACAAATACATCGACTGCGATTCACGTGCAACTTTGGTGCTATTAAATACATAATTACAAATATGTCTCGTGCAATTTTGGTACTATTAAATGCATCGTTACAAATATATCATGTGCGATTTTGGTGCAATTCAGCTGATTTTGTTTGTTTATGTGATGTTCATCGAATTTTGTGACTAACATGTGATCTTTTCGAGTTCCATATTGTGTTTAGCTTATTTACTTTGTTATCATAATGAGGTTAAGTTGCATGCTGAAGTAATCTTTGGAACTTAGGTAATTTAGTCGATATTTGGCCAAGTTAAAAAAAATTACTTGTAGCCCTACTTGGTAAGGATTAAAATATAAATTTTAATCCAAGTTAAAGAATAACAATGAATTTTAACAACATATTTTATTGGACCCAAAACTTTTCAATCACACATTTCATCATTTTAGTTTATTTTTATCAAAATTACTAAAATTTTTATTTTAATCTCCACCAAACAAGGGTATAAATAATAATTAAATTTAAAAATAGTTTATCTTTCGTTGGTTAATGCTAGACATTGTTATAAAAATATAGATAAGAATGAATGTGTTGTTATTACGTTGAAGTCTAGATGGTTAGAAGAGTATATTCTATTCACATTGTAATGCATATTGAAACCTTATATACGGATCATTGTTACGATGAAATATACACTTGAGTTTTGACTTTCTTAATACTTTTATCTTGTTCATTTACTCTCTCTTTATTTTATAACAAGTAATCAGCACAATGTTCTAATTTTTTTCTAGATCGTGGTGCAAATCAAACAAGCTTATAATTGGTGCTTCGGTATTTTAAGAGAAAAGAAATTCCAACTTTGATGATGCCTTATGGATCTCAAGTGATTATAATAAACTCTCCCACGATCTTAGTGAAAGGATATTGAACGTTCGATTGACTTAAATTAAAAGCAGGATTATTTGTCAAATAAGTTTATCGAATTTATGAGTAAGAGGAACGATTCCGAATAATAAATGCTTATGTTTTTATGTAAATGTGTTATTGAACCCAATGCTTTATGGATCTTTTATATTAATTGAATTTGATATTTATCTCCTCGGAACACATTGAACCCAATGCTTTATGGATCTTTTATATTAATTGAATTTGATATTTATCTTCTCGGAACACGTGAGGCATAAATAAGTAGCATTAGTGGAGACCAACAATCTTATACGTTATTTATAATTTTTTCTAAATCTATAATTGTCAATCTAAACAAAATTGAAACAACAATAAATACTTATGTTTCTGATTTTTTAAATATTATTCATTATTTGTTCTGATTGTTAGTCTAAGCATAATTGAAATAATTTGATAAAATAATAAATACTTCTATTATGGTCAAATGCATTATTGAGATATTCTATATTAATTAAATTTTGATTGAATTTGATATTGAAGGCCTCGAAACATGTGGAGCATAATTATTAGCAATGATTTAAATATAGACTCAAGCATTGACCCAAAAAAGATAAGGGTTAAGGAACCAAGGGCCAAATGGGGCCGAGCCTGACGTCAAAATTAAGTAAATAAATACACAGACAAGCAAAAAAATATTAAAACAAAAACAATTTTTTAATTTTAATACTAATAATTCAAAATCAGCATAAACCCATGTTTGTCAATTTAATTTACTATCATAAAATTTATTTTAAAACTTCACAAACTAATCATTAATATGTTCAGTATAATTTGCTTTGTTCAATTGAAATTGTTTGTGCTTTCGATGCCATGATTTAAAATCATGCTAATGTAGAATGAAGTGAATAATTAAACATTTAAAATTTCAATTGGCCACTGTATCTATAGAAATGTGCACGAAGAGTTTCTTATAAAAGCAACAACCCTGCAAAGGTAATTACAATTGGGTAAAGAATAGCTTTAAAAAATTAATGAAAAACCATGATAGGGTTTTCGATTTGTGGTCAATCGACTCTCGTTTATTGGTTTTCTCTTTTTTCTTTTAATATATAATGATCAGACCGAATATTAAGCCGGTTCCCGATTTCTCCGATTGAATTAGTCGGTCCCCTCCAGATTGATAACATTGATTATTAGAGATTGATGATCTTACATATTAACAATTATAAAATAATAATTACTTCTATTTTTGTCAAATGCTTTATCGAGTCCAATGCTTAATGGATCTTCTATGTTATTAAGTTTTCGATAGAATTTAATACTTACGTCCTTGAAAATTGTGAAGTATAAATAAGCAACATTGTTAGAGAATGATGATCTTAAAAAAGAATGCATAATTAAATTTTTTGTATGACCATCAAATAAAGTTAGAGAATAACGGTTCATGCAATAAAGGTTCTTGTTCCGTGCTTGGTACATAATCCCTAAACGACCCCATATTATATAACGAAAGATTATAATTTAATGCATTAGAGACCATTACTATGAACCATAATTAAATTAATTAGTTGTCTGGGATCGACTTTCAAGGTATGTAGCTTCAGAGCTCTATTCTTAATTTGCAGTTCCAAATTCTAGTTTGATATGAAATTTAAGTTTAATTTAATCAAATTATTACTGGGTAGAACTATTGGATTATAGTGCCATAATTAGACACCGGATGAAGTTGCAGCCTTAGAGATTCATCATAATCAAATTGTTTAAGTTAAAAACTGAAGTAGTTAGCATTAGACTACATAAACAAACTTTAGCATCAATCATTCCAAGTCACAAAATAAATTTAAAGTATTAATACAAATAATAAGATTTTTTGCACATTAATTTCTAACAAATCACAATTGTAAATATACCAACTTTGAATAAATAATAATCTCTCGATGGTCTTAATTATTGGAGATTTTCAACATATATATTATTTTCGAAATCACTAAATTTTCGTCACTACCAATGCATTCACACTTTTAAATATATAATTACAAATATATCACCTGCAATGCACGTGCAATTTAAGTGCTTCTAAGTCCACCCTTACAAATATATCATGAGTAATTCACAAGCCATTTTGGTGCTACTAAATACACCTTTACAAATACATCGACTGCGATTCACGTGCAACTTTGGTGCTATTAAATACATAATTACAAATATGTCTCGTGCAATTTTGGTACTATTAAATGCATCATTACAAATATATCATGTGCGATTTTGGTGCAGTTCAACTGATTTTGTTTGTTTATGTGATGTTCATCGAATTTTGTGACTAGCACGTGATCTTTTCGAGTTCCATATTGTGTTTAGCTTATTTACTTTGTTATCATAATGAGGTTAAGTTGCATGCTGAAGTAATCTTTGGAACTCAGGTAATTTAGTCAATATTTGGCCAAGTTAAAAATAAAAATAAAAATAAATTACTTGTAACCCTACTTGGTAAGGATTAAAATATAAATTCTAATCCAAGTCAAAGAATAACAATGAAATTTAACAACATNTACAAATACATCACTTGTGATTCACGTGCAACTTTGGTGCTATCAAATGCACAGTTACAAATATATCTCGTACAATTTTGGTAATATTAAATACATCATTACAAATATATCATGTGCGATTTTGGTGCAATGCAGCTGATTTTGTGTGTGTATTTGCAGTTCATCGAATTGCACGTGATCTTTTCGAGTTTTATATTGAGTTTAGCTTATTTGCTTTATTATCATAATGAGTTTAAGTTGCATGCAGAAGTAATATTTGGAACTTAGGTAATTAAGTCCATATTTGGCCAAGTTAATAAAATAAAATAAAATAACTTATAGCCCTAATTGGTAAGGATTAAAATTTATATTTTAATCTAAGTCAAAGAACAACAATGGATTTTAATAACATATTTTATGAAACCCACAACTTTTCAACAATGCATTTAATCATTTTTATCAAAATTACTAAAAATCTTATTTTAATCTCCACCAAACAAGGGCATATATAATAATTAAATGTAAAAATAAATAATGTTTTGTTGGTTAATGCTAGACATTGTTATAAAAATATAGATAATAATGTAATACATATTAAAACCCTATATACGGATCATTGTTACGATGAAATATACACTTGAGTTTTGACTTTCTTAATCCTATTATCTTGTTCATTTACTCTCTCTTTATTTCATAACAAGTAATCAGCACAATGCTCCAATTTTTTTTCTAGATCGTGGTACAAATCAAACGAGCATATATTTAGTCCTTCCGTATTTTAAGAGAGAAGAAATTCCAACTTTGATGATATGTGGATACGTAGAAGGGAAGAAATGTAACCCTAAACCCGACGATCAAATTGTTGGAGATTGAAAACATAATTGATTGCTCAGAAAACGCAAAGAGAGACTTTGCCATCTGCATATATATTATATAAATGAGTATGAAATAATTTGAATAAAATTTATTACTCCGTACCAATATTTTAGATGAATATTGTATTATTACTCTTAGAAAGTATCATTTATAATCAATATTCCAAAACGATACTTATATAATTATTATAATATTGCTCATAATATATATATAAACTCTTTTGTTGATTCACTCGTGAATATAGGAAGGCAACAAAAACTTTTTGACTCATGCTTTAAAACTCATTTTTTTAACCATGATTTCTTTCAATAAAATAATTTTGCACGTAAATTCAAAATTTGTTGTACTCTTTAACCATACAATCATTTTTTTACAAAGATTTGACATGAATAGTCCCTTCATTCACAGAGGAGTTTCTACGTTTATATGAGAAATTTCTGCACTGCTGTACATTTAATCTAATGTCCAATAGTCTTGTCCAATGAAACATGAAAATAAACTAGGAAAAACCCCCAGCAAACAGGCAACCCAACATCGAAAAACTTAAATCTAAATCTGAGAAGCAGTAGCTTCACAAATGACATGTTTGGCTAAGCTTAAAACTAAGTAAAATTGACTTGTAAATAACTTTCTATTCATAGTACAGTCAGTCTGGACCAATATTGATAACCAAACATGTTTGGGATGTGGCACTTTTACCTTGACATTATGATCAGATCTCACTATATCATCTTAGCTGTACTGCACACTTGTTTACCAATGAAAGAACTACTGCTGCAAACTGCCATCCCAGGAAATCTGAACTGCCACCAAATAGAAATGTTATGCCTCAATTAGTCCTTAATAAGACGTCTCTTGGCAAAATGCCTTCATCAAACATTAATATACATAGAAAGCTAGTGGGATTCATATGCTTGAAACAATTCTAGATTATTTAACAGAGCACTATCTAAATTTTTCATACTTTTCATAAGGAAACATTGTCTCGAAGACAAATGAAAAGGATTTTCTGAACACTGAAGGGCAGTGTACAAAAGAATCACATAATTACAATTGCCACTTTGGCCGAGACATCTTAAGCTGAGCCAACCCCTCAATAACCAGGAAAGAAAAATGAAAAATGTCGCTCCTCTGTAACCAGTTAAATATTCCCCAACCTGTACAACTTGCTATCAATGATCAAACACAATAGATGACAGGTCATCCATAGGTATCTCGAGGCCTACGGAATCATGGTCTTGTAACTCATCCTCATCAAAATTGAACAAAGAACTGAAATCATGCGTTACTTCAATATCAGAATCTACCCCCAGTTCTACAGAATTTATATCATTCAGTGGCAAATTTGGGAAGTCCATTGATTTCTTTGTCTCCTTTGATGAATCCAGAGAGCCATTACCAGAAGATATTAATCTAACATCTCTGACAAATCCATTTCCTGATGTGGAAAGCTGAGCTGTCTTCTGCTTTGGCTTTGATTTCGTTTTAAGTTCACCCTTAGAGCCGCCCATTGACGAGTGCCCACTTTCGGAAGCTGGATTTCTGATTGAAGTTTCTCTATCTCTGTCTCTCTCACTTCTCTTTCCCTTTGTATAACCAGAAATGCCTAGAGTAGATGTTGATCTAAAAACTGCACCACCAACATCATCAAGCAATACTTCCTTTTTCTTTTCTTGGTTGGATATTGGTCCATTTTTAGCAGAGTCGTGATCAAATTGATGTCCTGAAGTCTCGGACACATCTACCGAACTCCCATTGGTACAACCAGGTAAGGAGCCTGTTTAACAGTAACATATTATTAAATAGCCTAGCTGGCTGAAAACCATAATATTTATATTTCAAAGCATTGAAGAGAAAGTAAATAAAATAAAACAAACAAATTTGGTTTTTAAATTCATCAAGCAAAACTAGAAACATCACAACTGAAGATAAACTCAAAATAGCCAATGGGAATGTTATAACTTCCAAGGCATTGTAAAAAAAAAAAAAAAAAAAAAAAAAAAAAAAAAAAAAAAAAAAAAAAAAAAAAAAAAAAAATTAAAATAAAAAAATTAAAAAATTAAAAATTAAAAAAATGGAATGAAAAAAGGGTTTGGAAGGACAACTTGATGTATCTTCTGGCAGACTGAAAGCCCTAAAAAAAAAATGTTCGGAAGGACAACTTGATGTATCCTGGGGTAGACTGAAAGCCATAACATTGAACATTTAAGAGCAATTCAATGAATTATGACGAAATAAATTCCTTTTTAAATGTTCTGAGCAAAACTAAACATCATGACAGAAGATGAGCTCAAGAGAAAAGCCAATGCAGAAGTTATAACTTCTAAGGCATTGTTGAAAAAATGAAACTAAAAGAGGGCAGCTCGATGTATCCTCTGGGGTGGCTGGAATTTAATGGATGCAAGTGCTCACCATTAGCAACTGCCAGATTAGCATTAGGAAGCCGCTCCAGTTCATTGGCATGGGGAGGTGCAGCGTAAAGAATATCCCGGAGTGAAGGCTCAGCAAAGCAACTTTCTCCTGAATCTTCAAATTTCTGACATCTGGAAAGTGTCCTCTTGGCAAATGCAAATGCAGATTGTTTAGACACTTTGGCAATTCTATGTTTAGAAGCAAAGCTTCCTCGAGTTGCCTTCACAAAAATTTAGAGAGATAATCTATTGTTAGACTCTGAATATACCTTTGAAATTGAAAATAATAAGAGAAGAATTTTAGCAGTGGGTTTAACCAACAGTTTCCTATCTTAAAAGTTCATGCTATGCATGCATAGAATTCACGTTCCTCAAAATTTTCTCAATAAAATGGCAAACAAAATTAATTGATTATGACTATCAGTAGACTTAAGGTTGGTATGTTCCAGGGCTCTCTTCCAAACAGACTCCATGGATGTGATGAGACGAATATAACAGAGTACCCTAACAGATTGTAGACTATGATCTATTGGGTTTTCTTTTTAACATGTTCTTGATATTAACAGCCAACCAAGAAATTTAAATTTTCTGTTGAATTATAGACTTATGAATCGTCCACTTTGAGCTCTCTCACAAGATATATAATGCCAGTTGCTTTGTATTTGAAAGCCAGAGAGCTTCATCATTGATCAACAGATCAAGCAAAGCACGTAAATTTTCCACATATATAATTGAATTATATATGAAGGTAACATTTGTTTTCCCAAAACATTTCCCACAATAGACATTTCAATAAGCATATGACCACTCTAATTGCTGATCAAACACTTCTAGCCCAAAAAACTACAAATTAAGAAATCAACTAGGCAAAAAAGAAAAGGTTTAACCAAGTCCATTCAAACAGAATCAGCAGAGTTTTGTTCAGGATTTTATCTTTTGCAAACACTGAAGGGGCATGGGCACTGAAGGGGCACGGGCTTTCTTTTTCTGCTGAGGGACTTGCTATCTGTCAAGTCACATTAATGGCTCGCTTCCCAGATTAATCGAGGCCAGACCACATATAGATCTGATCAAGTTATAACATCCCTCATTTTGGTTTTAAGTTCAAATTTCATGTAACCAACCAGACCACAATGATTATGATCTGGGAGTATTAGACATCCAGCAGGTTTGATTTGACATCAAACGGAAGTAAATCAATAGAATCTGTATACTCCAACTCACTCTTATAAATTATCTTTATCCTCAGTTTTATCACAAATAAAATCGGCCTCCATTTCAAAGTTACTTTTTTCCATAAAGAGAAGACAATAATCAAGGTTGACAGAATACATGTGGTACAGCTTGACAGCTCTTAAGGATCAATGGAAGAATGAAGCAAAACAATAACTACTCACCGAAAGTTTTTGGTATGCCAACTCAATAAGTTTATCCATAGCAACCTGCTCAGGATTCCTGTGTAATACCAACCTTAATTATCATCACATGATTTGAACAAATATTTTGCAATTATTGTGATAACATTAAGCTCAAATGCTCATAAACAAAATCAAAATGAAGAGAATGTTACCGTCTTTCTGCATCATTTTCTTCTTGAATAGCCTTGTACAATTTATCCAGGCACTTTGTCTTCTTTCCAATCTAAAGGCTCAAGCATAAAAAAGAAAACAACCTACACTCAATAATACATACATGTGCATATTACGGCAGAACAGTAATCAGTGAGGCTTTACAAAAAATATTTTCTCATGAGAAGATATGTGCCTCTTGTGCATAGTTTAATAATATGGGTTAAAAGACAGAAAAAACGGAAATCATAAATGCTGGATGACCTTTTGATGAAGTCCTCTCTCTAGTTGCACAATTTCCTGGTTGATTACTTCGTCTTCTTTATCATCCAAGGGAGGCTGTATAAAGACATCCCGATGAAAGAAAGATACAAAAATGAATAGAATGAAGGACTCTACAAACAATTATTAGATATGTAAAAGTTGTCTGTAATTTATAAAATTCCTACAAAATTCAAGCATACCATGGTTTCAAGATACAGACCAACACTCTGCAGCTCCAGTACAAGCTTGTCTTCAAGACACATCTCATCGTATTGGTAATCAGAGGAAGATATGCCATTTTTTTTTGTCTGAGAACTTCGTGGACCATGATCACGCCTTGAAAGTCTAGCCAACACTTCAACCTCTGAATGCTCATATCTGCCCTCACCATGTAGCAGTTCAGAGTTGCACAGATGCACTTGAGCACTGTGGACTCTGTTGTTGTCACTATTTCCATTGCAAGAGAAAAATTGATTTGGGTTACTGTTTTTCTGAGAGAAGTGCTGTAGAGACCTATCTTTATTTTCAGAATCAACAATGATGCGTAGATCATCAGATGAACTCCTTGATCTTCCAAATCTATTTTCTTTGCATCCTTCAATTTCATCTTCCACAATTAAAGCTGATAGAACCCTTTGATAAAGTGGAGTGCGTCCTTCTACATCTAGGTTTCGAAACAGAGAGGAATCTTGCAGTTGCTGGACAAATTCCTCAGAAGAATCTTTTAACTTGATTTGATTGTTCTTGTGTCCATTCCTCTCACTAGAGAGCGAATCAGAGGCAGAAATTTCTTCATGCCCATGGTCAGCCTAAAAAAGAGATTTTTTCCTTTTAATTTTAAGTAAAGCAGATTTATAAATGATATATAGATGCATAACAACTTGTTCCCTACAAGTGTACGAAATTCCAGTGGCTGCAAGAGCCACAAGAAGAGATTGGACCTGAAGTATTTACAACAAAATATAATAGTGGGTTGAGGAGAAAAAGGAGAGAACATAAACCATTTTCCATTGAATATTATTTCCAGGGCCAAATATATTATTCAAGCTTCCAGAATATTCATCTGCCGATTTCAGCTGGTTCAGACAAACAAAAAAATATATCCAACTACCTATCCAGAGACAAACAGATAAAAATAATTCATCCACCAATTTAGGAGTCACCTGTCGTGATAAATGCAATCTTTTATCTGGACTAATAGAAGCAAACAATGGCTCAACTTCCTTCCAGTATGGGCTCGAACAGGCAAGGACTAGAGCAAAATGAAAAATGATTTTAATTATTTCCACTATATGAGAAAAGCAACATAACCAATATGACAAGAAGTAATTGTTGTCAGAACACACCACTAGAGTTGCAAGCAAAATTTGCAGCTTCTAAAAGCTCTTCACGATCATCCTCTGATTCCCCTGGAAAATCATAAGGTCGGTGTAGTAATTAATAACTAGTACTCAAAGGGGGAAAATGTTTATGATATTTTAAAAGAAATTCCCAATTTAACTATTTTTATAAATTTCATTTTGATTTCTTCTTTTGCTGGGAGGAAAGTGGTTCAAACTGATTTGTTGGCTGAAGATTTGAGTTATGCCCAAAAGCTACGCTTTTATTTCCTGAGATTGACTTTACCTTATTTTAGAGTTTCAAAAGACTAAAACATATAAAGAAAATAGAATCAGATTGAATATATTCTTAGAGTTGACACATGGCATAAATCTCATGTACAATAGGGACAAACTAAAAAATAACCCAAATTTGATATTATATATATAGAGATAGTAATTGACCCCTTATGAGACCAATGCAGGTGCAGGCAACTGAGAGATGGATTTCACTTATCACAATATAATCACTGAATAATAAGCCAAATTTTGACACATAAACTCTCTTTATCAGTGTCTATAGTATGCAGCAAAAGAAACAAATGAAAAATTTTGCAGGAAAATCATTTCAATAGCTACATCATTTAGGAGGTATACCATTAAAGTCAAGGGAACCTCCATTTGCCACATGGACAAGACGAGAGAAACCTTTACGATCAGATAGCTTCTTCAGAAGACGGCCTGACTTACTGAGAGAGTTCAAAAATTTCATCATGAGTGTGAGAAAGCCAGTATATATCTAAGTACATATTATTTTAATCTGCTAGAAAAAATGATTCCATACCTTCCATTCTTGTCAGAACCGGACCTAGCACTTCGCAGTAGCTTGGTTGTGACTGCCTTATCTAACTCCTCTCTCCTAGGTGAAATACTAGGCCTAGAAAATGGCAAGACACCTCCACTCTGGCCTTGTCTCTGTCCACCATCACTTCTCTTTTCTTCAACAAAAATTTTGTTCTTCTTTGTAAGAATTGCTGAAGACACAATGTTTTGAGCACCATTTTCATCTTTTTCTTCCATGTCTACACTCCCTACACCTCTCTCCTTTAGTCTGTACTCACCTGCCCCAGATTCTTCGCTTTCAGATAATCTAGCAGGGGAAGAAAAATTATTGTTTTTGAAATTATGAGTTCCAGTGGCTGCGCTTCTAGAAAGAAGGGAAACATTGGTTACACCAGACTTTAATCTAGCACTAAGATCTGAAGGGGAACATTCTTCAGATTGCATCTGTGCTTCATCATGGTTTGATACTGGCACAAGATTTGTCCTCCTTGTACGGGTATTCTTCTGTGTCCTCTGCCCAACCCAATGAGTGATGGATGAAGAGGATGATCCTGTCGGTATACCACGCTTCCGATTGTTAGAGCTTCCAATTGAAGGATTTTGGTTTACACCTTGAGTTTGTTCCCAGCTTTCCAAAGCTCCAGATAACCGGGGAACATAGGAAGCTGAATTAGTTCCACGTGTAGAGCCACTTCGAGGCGCCCTGGAGGCCTTCCCTTTTACTACTGGACTAGGACAGACGGCAAGATTTTCCTCACCTTTATTCAACCTAAAATAGGGATAAAAGGAAACATTATAACCAAAAAATTGAGTTTTAAGGAGAAAACAGGTTGCTAAACATCAAAAACCAAAAAACGGCATGCAATAAAGGTATGCAAGCTACAGAACAAGGGGGTTACTGACTACTACAGTCATTGACTGAAAAGAGTTGATGCTTACTGTATGTTTCCTTTTCCTAAGACTCGCCCCTTATTCTGTCCAAGATGAAGATCCTTTGAAAGAACAGATTTTTCTTGTTCAGTTTTTGGTGTTGCGTGAGCACTAGAACCAGCAGGAGACGATATAGGGTCCCACTTGTTACCACCAGCAGGTTCATTGATCAGCTTATGATGCATAGTTCGTTTCAGTTCCACATCAGAGTTGATAGGTCTCGAAAAGACTGCACCAACTGAGCGTTTGCTTCGCATTTTCTTGTCCCAACCTTCTCTGCCAGCAGGTAATTTTCTAATCCTTTCCTCAACAATATCTGCATCTGCACTACTATCTTTAACCAGGCCTCTTTCTTTTGCCATTGCCAAAGGCTGCCGAAGTGATCCATTATCCCGTAATTCTGCCTAAAAGCAGAAATAAGATCTAATCATGTTTTCGATAAATGAATATAAAAGGGAAATCATTATTCTTAAGAATAAAAGAACAAGTGATGAATAGGCAGCATAGAGTCTGTAAGCTCTTGGTTAATACAACAAAAAGACAAACTAAGCATCATTCCCAATTGTTATTGTTATGGAATTATGCATCAATTTAGGTTTATATTTATTCTTTACATATACAACACATTTATATATGGTAGGTGCATAAGTTTAGAATGATTTCTTATTTTGATAGGATTGTTTTTCCTTATGAGAAACATCCTCTCTATGTGTATACATATGTAACACACGTTTATAAATTGTGAGATGGAATAAGTTATTCTTCCAAAAATCAACATGGTATCAGAGCTTGGTTTAAGAAATTAGGGTTTGTGATTTTTTGAAAAAAAAATTCGTGGGACTGGTCTCGATGATGGAAAAGGTATGAGCCGGTATTTTCCAGGTTAAGACAGAGACTTACCTTGGATCACTTCGTGGTGGTTGACGACCAGAAGCGTAGCGGCGGAAATTGGTTGCAACGAGCGTTCTGCGACGTCTTGTGATCCCGACTCGGGTTCTCTTTGGATCAGCAGTCCGTCTCCAGTAACCCGTTGCGTGTGGCGAGTGTTAGGTGTAAGGGAATCTGACTTCATTGACTTCTCTGCTTCATCGTTTCCTCTTCTCCTTTTGATGAGCGTAGACTGTGTTTGTATTTGCGCTGCAGACGAGTTGCTATTTGTTTGGGCTGAGACGAGTCAGTTTCATTTTAATTTGGTTGAATTGATTTATTTTGTTTTGTTTTGGCTGCGTTTTACTGGACATGCATTATTGTTGGTTTGATATTATTATTAAGTTGGCTTGGGGTTTATTTTGTGTTCCTTTTGATTCTCTGATAATCAATGGCGGAAGGTGATAAAAAAATGGTGAATGAAATCACAGTAACCCCATCTTCAAAAATCACGGAAAGAAAATTAACGGGTAGTAGAAATTATGCTTAATGGAAGAGAATTGTCTGTAGATACGTGTCAAGTTTAGATTTGGGCAATCATTTGATTGATGACCTACCTCCACATTCTAATACTAATCCAGGGATTCGAAAAAAATGGTTGATGGAGGATGATAAACTCTTTAATCAGATTTAGAATACCCTTCACCCGACAGTTGATGATGTTATTAATCATTGTGATACTGTGAAAGAATTGTGGGACTATCTAGAGTTTATGTATGCTAGTAAACATGATGTGTCGCATGTTCATGAACTACTGCTGAAAATTTATCGGGTTGAGCAAAAGGGGCAAAATCTGTTTCAATATTATACTTAAGTAAAACAAGCATTTGAAGAAAAGCGAGCCACGTTTCCTATTACTAATGATGTGAAGAAGATGCAAGAACAAGAAGAGCAGGTCGTGGTTCAGTGTTTTCTTGCAGAATTGGGTCCTGAATATGAGGTGGCTCGTACTCAGTTACTTACCAACGAGGCACTTCCTTCATTGAGTGATATATATGCTCATCTCCTTCGGGCATGCAAGGACAATGACAAGGAGCAAGGTATAGTACCAAATGAGACGGTAGCTCTGGTTGGCACAAATACATAGTTAAATAACAATTACAATAATAAAGGAGGAGGATGAGGTAGTCGAGATAAAATTTCTAGCAGTGGTTCTCGTGGTTATTATTGTGGAGAGTAAGGACATATTAGAAAGAACTGTTGGAAATTGAATAGTAAACCAGCAAAGAACACGAGTCAAACCCCCATGAGAAAGTTTGCAAATGTTGTCGCTTAGGATAGTCTTTTACCTACACCTTCTACTCAGCCTTAAATTACAATTCCAGCAGATGAAAATGCTCACCTTACATAATTTTACGCTTCTCAACAGCCTCTTACACCTACCACTTCCAATTTAGCCAACACAAGTAATTCTATAGCGTGTCTTTCTACCGCATCTCATAATTGGGTCATTCCGGTGCCACAGATCATATGACTGGGAATACAGGTATACTTTCATCACTTCAATACTCTTCCAATATGCCATTTGCCACTTTAGTTAATGAGTCTATAACTCCTGTTGTTGGATGTGGGACTGCACATCCAACAAACTCTTTACCAATGTCATATGTTTTATATTTACCTAAGTTTCCTTTCAATTTTTTATCTGTAAGTCAAATTACCAAATCTCTTAATTGTAGTGTTCTTTTCTTTCCTAACCATTGCGTTTTCCAAGATTTTGGGACGAAGCAGATTATTGCTAGAGGGTGTGAGCTCAATGGCTTATATGTGCTAGATTCTTCACCTACACAGGTGCCAAGATCGATTACATGCACTTGTACTTCTCTTCTGCAGCTCCATTGTCGCTTCAGTCATCCTTCTCCCCCTGTTTTGAAGCAATTATGTCCTAGTCTTAATCAAGTATCCTAATTAAATTGTGAGTCGTGTCAATTAGCAAAACATCAAAGAGTGTCATATTCTCCTAGAATGAATAAACGGGCTGTGTCCCCTTTTGATTTAATACATTCAGATATTAGGGGTCCTTGTTCTATTTTATCTAAGTCTGATTTTCGATATTTTGTTACTTTCGTGGATGATCATTCTCATGTTACTTGGTTATATCTTATGAAAAATCATTCCAAAATATTTTCAATTTTTTGTGCCTTTTATGTTGAAATTAAAACTCAATTTGACAAATCTATACGTATCTTAAGAATTGATAATGCCGAGTATTTCTCATCGACATTTACGTCCTTTCTTTCACAAAATGGCATTATTCATCAATTTTCATGTATTGTTACTCTCCAACAAAATGGAGAGGCAAAACGAAAGAATCATCATTTATTGAAAGTTGCATAAGCTCCCCTTTTTCATAAGAAAGTTTCAAAAGAGTTTTGGGCAATGCAGTCTCTACTGCGTGTTACTTAATCAATCGTATGCCTTCATCTATCTTAGATGGCAAAATCCCATATTCCATTCTATTTCACTCTCAGAATCTCTTCTCTCTTGCTCCTGAAATATTTGGATGCATTTGCTTTGTTCAAGATATGAGACCTCAACTCTTCAAACTTGATTCTAAATCCCTTAAGTATATATTTTTGGGTTATTCTCGACATCAAAAGGGTTATCGATACTTTTCTCCCTCGTTAGGACAATACCTAGTGTCTGCTGATGTCACCTTTTTCAAGTCCACACCTTTTTCTAGTACTGTTGTGTCCTCTAATCCATCTTCTATTGAGTCTGGGGATGACATCCTTATTTACACTGTGATGACACCTGTGTTACTAGTATCTTCTCGCCCTCCTATTCAAAGTGGTTACACTCGTCGTGTGCAGCAATCTTCCGTGACACCTAATATTGCCCATGACTTGCCTTCTCTACTGGCTACTTCGCCTCAGGATTCGTCACCCCCTCCTGATCCTACTCTTGATCTTCCCATTGCTCACCGTAAAAGTAAACGATCATGTACTTATCCTGTCTCTTCTTTTGTTGTTTACCATGCATTGTCACCATCTTCCAAGTCTTTCATTGCTTTCTTAGAGCATGTGTCCATACCAAAATTTATCTCTAAGGCTTTATCCCATCATGGCTGGCGAGCAGCCATGCAAGATGAAATGTTGGCACTAGAACATAATCACACATGGAAATTAGTTCCTTTACCACTCAATAAAAGGGCAATTGGGTGCAAATGGGTTTTTACAGTCAAAATGAATCCTAATGGATCTGTTGCTCGATTGAAGACTCGTTTGGTTGCTAAAGGATATGCTCAAACTTATGGTGTGGATTATTCTAAGACTTTCTCTCCTGTTGCTAAGCTAGCTTCTATTTGGTTGTTCATTTCTTTTGCTGCTAACTATCATTGGCCGCTTCACCAGTTGGATGTTAAAAATGAAGGGGGAGTCAGGGAAGGTATGCAAACTACAAAAATCATTATATGGTCTGAAACAATCACCTCGTGCCTGGTTTGGAAAATTTAGTGAGGTTGTGATTGAATATGGCTTGAAAAGAAGTGCATATGATCACTCAGTATTCTTTAAACAGTCTACAATTGGGTGTATTTTGTTAGTTGTATATGTTGATGATATTGCTATTATTGGTAGTGATAGCAGTGACATAAGTATGCTAAAGGCTTTCCTAGGCACAAAATTTCAAACAAAGGAGCTAGGTCCTTTGAAATATTTCCTAGGGATAGAGATATCTTGAAGTGGCAAATGAATTTTTCTATTTCAAAGGAAATATGTTCTAGACCCACTGGATGAGACAAATTTAGCTGAAGCAAAACCTGGTGATGCCCCTATGATTCCAAATGTGAAACTCGAAACAGAAGATGGAAATGTGTTTGTCGATGCAGACAAGTACAGGAGGGTAGTGGGAAAATTGAAATATCTTACAATTACTCGGCCAGTTTCCCGTAAGTGTTGTTAGTTAGTTTATGTCATCTCCTAGAACTTCACATTGGGATGCCGTAACTCATATATTAAGGTATCTTAAAGGAGCTACAGAACGTGGAATTCTTTATAGAGACCGTGGTCATTGTAAGGTTGAGGGTTTCTAGGATGTTGACTGGGCAGGATCTCCTGTGGATAGGCCCTCTACTACAGGGTATTATGTTTTCATTGGAGGTAATCTAGTCTCTTGGAAAAGTAAGAAACAGTGTGTTGTGGGTCGATCAAGTGCAGAATCTGAATATCGGGCTATAGCACAAGTGACTTGTGAACTTATGTGTCTGCGTCACTTGGAGAAATTTGCATTGATACGTCTCATTCTATGAACTTGTGGTGTGATAATCAAGCAGCTATTCACATTACCACTAGTCCAGTATTACATGAGAGAACAAAATATATAGATGCAGACTGTCACTTTCTTCGTGAAAAGCTACAACAAAGATCGATTTCGATTAAGCATGTCAAGACAGGAGATCAATTAGCTGATGTGTTCACTAAAACTTTAGCCGGAACTCGAGTAAACTACATTTGTAACAAGCTAGGCATGATTGATATCTATGCTCCAACTTGAGGGGGAGTGTTATGGAATTATGCATCAATTTAGGCTTACATTTATTCTTTACATATACAACACATTTATATATGGTATGTGCATAAGTTTAGAATAATTTCTTATTTTGATAGGATTGTTTTTCCTTATGACAAACATCCTCTCTATGTGTATATATATGTAACACACGTTTATGAATTGTGAGATGGAAGAAGTTCCTCTTCCAAAATCAACAGTTATTAGGTTGGCTGCTTTATTTTTTTGCCACTCCGTTTAGGTCATTCTATATCTACTTATGCAAGAGTCATGTAATAAGATGTGAAAAAGTTTTATGTTGAGTGTCAACATATAACACACTCCTCCTTCATTCAAGGTTGGTACCAACAATTAATAACACAGGTAAGGATTTTTACTGTAATGGCCATAACATTGGTTGTTAAGATTTCAATATTTCCACAATATGGTTCTTTCCAACTCGAACACAATAGTGGACATATGTTAGTGAGGTGCTGAATTGGTCATTTGTTGTCACCATTCAATACACTCCACTCTGCTCACTGTTAACTATGCTGCACAGAATAAAATATTTAAACGCCACAAAGAGAACATAAGAAAAAGTTGTCAGATTGAAAATTGGGTACAAATGACAATTCTTTTCTATTTATCTCATGAAAAATGAAAATTTAAGAACAGAAAATGCTAGATAAATTAAAAAGTTAAACCACTAGCATTACTAACCTGAGTTTCTGCAATTGATGTCCTTAAACGCTTATTCAAAAATATATTCTTACGTCCATCCTCGAATTTAAGAGCTACAAGTTCCGAAGGTCTACGAAGCATCTGGGTTCCCATCTTTAAGTTTGAACCAGTTGATCGATCATCAGTCAATAGCTCATTCCGATGCTGCTTCTTAGGGGTCATGGAGTCAAGATACTTGGTCAATTTATTTAAATGCTCGTCCAGCTTTTTGGCTCTAACACTGGACAAAAAGAAGAAGGTAACGTATCTAGAATAGAAGCAGGAAGAGAATAATTAAATGCCAAGAAATACTGAATGAAAAAACATTTTATTATACCATTTACAGGAACCAATTTGATGACTCTGACATAAATATCAACAAAGATAGCTTGAAATAATTTCCAGTTAGTTGACCACGGCAACAAAATAACTTAATTTGAACATCAAGCTGCTAGTAGTAGGGTCTTAACTACGATAAAGACACAGTTTAGTGGTCTAGGACAGGGCTGCAACAGCATTTACTAAACAAGTCCAGTATCAGGCATTTCTCAAGAAGAACAGTGGTGAAACAGAAGAAAAAATTACCTAGCTTTGACACGAGTGTCGGCAACACTAGCTCTAAATCGTTTTAATTCCTTCACAACTACTGGAGGTGAAGTCTTCAGATGAGCGGCACCAAAAGGATTGTCCTCTAAGCTGCTTCCCACTGAAAACTCCAGAATCCTCCTTAACTCAACTGACCGTGGATACTTTTGATCACCCATAATGATTGGCTCCAACATCAGACTTTGAGACAATTCATGATTGTCCCCAGCTGACATAGCACTCCCCCTAGAAGTAGTCTTCCCAGAACCAAACATTCTACTCTCTACACCCTCTCTAAGCTTCCAGACCTATTCAAACTTGGATCAGACTAATTCCCTCTAGGTCCACTCTCATAGCCCCCAGCAAAACTGGAGTCGGGCTAGCCAAAGTCATTTCAAATCTAGCATTTACATTTTCAGCCATTATTAAAATTGAGCATCAAAATCTCATATCTACATAATGTTCTCTCCTCAATAATGTCTTTGAAATAAATCAGCTACTACATTGGCTACAAAGGCACAAAACATAATAAGAACAAGACACTAAGAGCAGGTATCTGCAAAAATTGGAGCTTCCAGTTTCAGAAACTAATTACGACCCATCAAATTACTACCTTTTATCAATAAACTTCATAAGTGCTAATAAAGAACTTTACTGAAAACTCGACTCAGGCCAGTAGTTTTATGATAAGGACTCTTAAAAATCTCAAAATGTCTTAAAATATATATGATAAACGGCATAATTCGGTAAAAAAATTTCAAAACCATTACCTTTAACAAGTTTAAGGCCTCACATGAGAATTTCAAAAACCAGAAGTAAACTACAACACTATTTCACTAGCCATCAAATTCTCTATATTCGATCACACTCAGTAAATTCTATTCTTTCAAATAAGCAGTCAAACAGTAAAATTCGAACCCTAAATTAAGCACTAGTAAAAATCACAGGAAGAATGAATCAATTCGAAGCTTTTCACCAGCATTAAAACCAAAGGGTTTTAGTTCCAAATAATCGAACCCAACTTTAATCTGAGGCAAGAAAAAAATAATAATAATCTAGAGTTTATCAAAATTTCCCCGTTCCGAAATTCAACACAATTCATCAACAATTATGATAATTCGACTATACGAAGTTCAAAAAGAATCAAGAATTTACCTGCATTCGTCGAACGAGAGATATTGAAGAGAGAAACACGGAGAAAACGTAGAGAGAGAAAAGGAAACAGTAACAAAATTATAAACTGGAATGTTTATTTTGCGCTTAAGAGAAACAGAAGTATTTGGGGAAATATACGGCAGTACGAGCCCAAAAAATTTATGGCAAAATTGGCAGTCCAAAAGGGCCCAAAATTATCAATTTTATCGGTGTATCTTTTGGGCTTTGCTTGTTGGACAACCCTGGTCGTCCCGTATCTTTTTGCCATGTTTGGCTAAACTTAAAAAAGAGTTATTCTTTTTGGGCAGGGCCGCAAATCGCCCCCTCGATGGCCCTATCCATATAGTAGAGCTCCTTAGAAAAAAGTTAGTTACGAATAAATTCATTAGTAATGTTAATTAATTTATTTTTTATTTAGATCAATGTATCAAGATGGACAAGGGTAATTGGCAAAAAACGCCCCTACCTTTTAAGTTTATTGTAGAAAATATCATTATCTTTCATTTTTTGGCATTTTCGTCCTTGTCTTACATCTTTCTTTGCGCAGAAAGTCCTTTTCAAGTTTTTTACAGTTTTACCTTCTATTCAAATAAAACAACAAAAAAGAAAAGAAAAAATAAAAAAATAATTGCAACCATAGTCTCAAATTTTCAAAAAATTAACATTTAAAATCAAAATCATCAAATCACCCCATCCCAAGCCACCAACACACCGCTACCTGCCGCCTATCACTACTACCCACTCCCTTCATCTTCTTCCCACAAATATATCCATGCCCATTTTTCTACTGGTTATAATCCTATATATATGTACACACACACACACACACACAC